CATACAACTGGATTTGTATAAGAACATAATCGAACAGTACACCAGGCGAAGAATGTGTAAGTTTGCCTATCGATCTTCCTACAGGTTTTATGGTTTCCTTGCTTACTCTTTTCATGATAGATTTAATTTTCTTTTGTGCATCTGCTCTTTTTCGTAAAAGTGCAGCATGTTGCAAGGGTGTATCGTTCTTCCATCGAGCATATAAACAGTATCGATTCTGATATGGGTAGTATTTTAAAATATTCCATAGTTCTTCCGCAACACAACAGTTACAATCCATAAAAGATAATGATGGTAGTAGTGCCACATCAAGAATGGTCAATACATCATAATATAGATTATTATTTTTATCAATTGGTTGCTTATTTGAGTCTAATGGACACTGTTTTATAGCTGTATGACATAATCTCATGATTTTGTACATTAAAACAGGATCGTGGTGCAAATTAGGACCAAGAACTATGAGCATTGGTAATAATTGGTCATGAATTTCCTCAAGACTTTCAATTGGTTTTGGAGCAAGAGAACTCTTTAATTGTGGAACTCTTCTACCTTGTAATTTTGGAGATATTATACAATGTCTAAAATTTAATGTAATAATACAGTATCAGAATTTAATTATGATAGTTCGAATACTCCAATTTTAAACTAACTTAATAGAATACTATTAACAAAAATATTACATAAAATAGAATTTACTTGCGATAAACAGGTTCAATAAGAGACTGAATCATTTTACACAGCGCTAATGCAATAGGACGTTGATCGGTGAGACTGTGTTCTGGTAAACGATTAAATAAGTTTTGTGCTACTTCCCACGCTCCTATTCCTAGTAATGCTTCGCATAATCCGAATTTTTGATTACTTGCATATTTATCCTTTTAAGAAATAACGATGTAAGTAAAATTTTTATGAACGATAAAAATCATTAAAAAAAAGGTATACTCGTCTAGGTATAATCATAACATTTTATAATACTATTATACTTGTGGATTTTCTTTCTCTTCTGGTATTTCTTCTTTATCCTTTGTAGAAATTACACTTAACTTGCGAACATATTCTTTTGCCTGTTTCATAGCCTGTTCATGTTCTTTGATGATAGTTTTATCATCTGGCACTAACCATGGTAATATATCATCCAATTTAATGACACCATGTTGCAACATAAGTGCAGTGACTTTTTGTAATGAAAATGGTGTAGTATTGACAGTTGAACAGTATTTAAATCCTAAAACTTCACAGAGTACCTGTTGATCACTCATGTATGAACGAATTAAAGGAATAAAAAGTGCATCATCCTGAGGTCGATTCTCAAATGTTTCTAATAAAATATCGAGTACTCTATTAGGGTCAAGATTGAAATATCCTAAAAAAATGATATATGCGTAACTACACGTATTAATCCACTTAATTTATAAAATTCACAAGTAAGTATATCAAAATGAAATATTTTACCAATAAGAGATTTAACAATTTCTAATATCGATGCTACTTCACTTTCTGGACGTTCTTGATTCAATTCCACTATAAGTTTAGAATATCCTTCGCTTTCTTCTCGAAATAAATTAAATTTCCGTTGCTTGTAACTGTAAATAAACATCTTATATAGATTTTGTTCCAGTTTGAATTCAAATTATATATTATATACAAACAAGTAGAAAAAAATACATACTACAATTTTGTCTTCACTTTAATAAATTTAATTTGAAAATTTTTATTTTTTAATGTTCCTACATCTTGCAATGTATCAATTTCTAAACGTTCCTTCAATATCCTATCTGTGAGAAACTATATAAAAAGTAAATGACATAAATTAATTATGCCATTAAAAATATTTTAATAAATGACAAATAATTTAATTATGTTTACTATCTTATAAAATGATACCTTTTCTGATTCTTTTACAAGATAGTAAAAATTATTTCTTTCTTCATTATGCACCTCTGCATCTATCAATGTAAATATATCCACTATTGCGGAGGGTATTGCTCCATCAATATTCTGGAAATAAATATATTTTAAATAGTATAAATTTGTTTAAAAACTTAAATTATTTCACTAATAGTAGTAAAAACAATAAATTAATGAAATATTATTTCTATTAATCTTACCGTTAGTTCACCTAATGTCTGAACCACATTGTCCCTTTTTATGTTCCCTCGGATTCCATTTGATATTAATTCGTATAATCCTCTTCTCCATTCTAAAAATAAATGTATTATCATACAAAAATATCAAAAATATAGAGATTATTAAATATTGTGCAATATTTTAAATATGTGATATTAATATTTTACGTCTTATAATTTATATTTACATAAATAAAATTAAAAAAGAATTTAGTTTATTTTTTGTTTTATTTTTTAATTGTCAATAATTAACACATAAAGTAATAATAGTGAATATATTATAGAAATACTAATAATTTTTCTATAATAAAGAAAGGTGTATGGATACCTCATTTACATTCATGAATAAAATAAATATTCAAAAATATTGGTATTTAAAATCATTTTATAAACATTTAATATTTGATCATATTTTTCACATAACAAACATGAAAAAACTTTTTATGAATCAATGTTATCTATCTGATAAGTAAATAAAATAGTTCACGGAACTATAAGCATAAAAATGAAGGATTTTAACGCGTGTAAAGTTGTATATTATGTTTAAACATGGCTCAAGCTGTTAAGATAAATTCGAAGAACATAAAAGCTCACCTGCAGTGTTGCCTTCCTTAAATTTGTGCTTGATTAACTTGAGGCTGCAAACAGTTGTTAATTGACAATTAACTCTTCAGAAGAGCGAGAAACAGGAGAGATAAGTTGCAACCATCAATTGCACAGAGTATGCAGTATCAATTCAATATTAATTGAACGCACTTCGGACGTTAACGCGTTAACCACTTACAAATCGTTTTTTCCATGTTTATCCCATGCTTTCCATATTTCTGTATTCCACACTTTACCAGCCATTTTAATTCCATGAAAAGCTTTTTATGATTAAAAACAATTGTATCAACATCACAGGTTAATAGACTCCATTTTCGATCATTGCAAGCGTCCTCGAAGCTATCGTGGCGCGATCTTTCTTATACCATATATTATATCTAGTACGGGGTCCTTCTTACAAAAAACTTTATTTATAATCACTACGTAATTAATGCATTAAAAATATATTTCATACGTAAATATTGTAGTATTAATTACAGAAATATTAAAATTGTTAAGTATGAGTCAAATTTCAACAAAAAGGTTTTATAAACACCTTATGTAAAATTTGTAAGTTATCTACTTTTTATCTATGAAAACGTTATTGCTTGTATTATGTTAATATATAGAATATAAATATAATTATAGAATATTGATTTATTACAAAAATTAAATTCATTTTATATAATACTTGCTGTAACTAAAATATACGCATTAAATAACTTTATAACAAAGGTATAAAAATAATATTAAATTTAAATAATCATTATTTATATATGAAATACACAATAACATTATAAATTACAAATAATTTTGTTAGTTTTATATGCATAGTTCATGCGTATATACGTAATTTAAATTTTGTTAATATATTACTACTAGAAATCAGTAGTTTTTGGAACGCCGAGAACTTTGATTCTTTTATATCCAACTATACAACGTATAGGTAATGTCAATTTCTCGTGAAATAAAATCAAGAAACATCTGCTTGTGTATTTTTAATAATAAGTAAATTTCAATATAATTATATTGATTAAATGAATATATTATAGAAATACTAATAATTTTTCTATAATAAAGAAAGGTGTATGGATACCTCATTTACATTCATGAATAAAATAAATATTCAAAAATATTGGTATTTAAAATCATTTTATAAACATTTAATATTTGATCATATTTTTCACATAACAAACATGAAAAAACTTTTTATGAATCAATGTTATCTATCTGATAAGTAAATAAAATAGTTCACGGAACTATAAGCATAAAAATGAAGGATTTTAACGCGTGTAAAGTTGTATATTATGTTTAAACATGGCTCAAGCTGTTAAGATAAATTCGAAGAACATAAAAGCTCACCTGCAGTGTTGCCTTCCTTAAATTTGTGCTTGATTAACTTGAGGCTGCAAACAGTTGTTAATTGACAATTAACTCTTCAGAAGAGCGAGAAACAGGAGAGATAAGTTGCAACCATCAATTGCACAGAGTATGCAGTATCAATTCAATATTAATTGAACGCACTTCGGACGTTAACGCGTTAACCACTTACAAATCGTTTTTTCCATGTTTATCCCATGCTTTCCATATTTCTGTATTCCACACTTTACCAGCCATTTTAATTCCATGAAAAGCTTTTTATGATTAAAAACAATTGTATCAACATCACAGGTTAATAGACTCCATTTTCGATCATTGCAAGCGTCCTCGAAGCTATCGTGGCGCGATCTTTCTTATACCATATATTATATCTAGTACGGGGTCCTTCTTACAAAAAACTTTATTTATAATCACTACGTAATTAATGCATTAAAAATATATTTCATACGTAAATATTGTAGTATTAATTACAGAAATATTAAAATTGTTAAGTATGAGTCAAATTTCAACAAAAAGGTTTTATAAACACCTTATGTAAAATTTGTAAGTTATCTACTTTTTATCTATGAAAACGTTATTGCTTGTATTATGTTAATATATAGAATATAAATATAATTATAGAATATTGATTTATTACAAAAATTAAATTCATTTTATATAATACTTGCTGTAACTAAAATATACGCATTAAATAACTTTATAACAAAGGTATAAAAATAATATTAAATTTAAATAATCATTATTTATATATGAAATACACAATAACATTATAAATTACAAATAATTTTGTTAGTTTTATATGCATAGTTCATGCGTATATACGTAATTTAAATTTTGTTAATATATTACTACTAGAAATCAGTAGTTTTTGGAACGCCGAGAACTTTGATTCTTTTATATCCAACTATACAACGTATAGGTAATGTCAATTTCTCGTGAAATAAAATCAAGAAACATCTGCTTGTGTATTTTTAATAATAAGTAAATTTCAATATAATTATATTGATTAATTACTGAGCAACAATACAAGTTGAATATTATTGTTAATAATATAAGTTATTTTTTAATTTGGATATACTATTGCAACGCTGTTTTCTTTACTACCTTTTTTGTGATTAATATAATTTCTAACTTAATATATTGTAATATAAATGTATTAGCTCTGTATATTTATATTTTTAAATATTAAGTTTTAAATTGTGAGTTTTTTAAATTCAAAACATCGATTTCTTTGTTTACTAGTCCATTGTTGGTTATGTCATATTGTGATGATAGTTTGGTAATTTTGTTTCCAGTATAAAATGGCTAAGTCTAAGGAGAAAAAAGGGAAAAGTGCTATCAACGAGGTTGTAACTCGCGAATATACAGTGAATCTCCACAAACGCCTTCATGGAGTTGGATTCAAAAAGCGTGCTCCCCGAGCTATCAAAGAAATTCGCAAATTTGCCGAAAAACAAATGGGAACTCCGGATGTGAGGATTGAAACACGGCTTAATAAACAACTTTGGTCTAAAGGAATTAGGTATATTTTTTAATTTGGTTCAATTTCAATTTATTATAGGTTAAACTAACATTGTTTAAAGTTGATACATTGTATTATTACTACTCTAAACAATAAGTTATATTTTTAGAAATGTACCATTCAGAGTTCGTGTACGATTGAGCAGAAAAAGGAATGATGATGAAGATTCTGCGAACAAACTGTTTACTCTTGTCACATACATACCAGTTGCTTCGTTCAAAGGTTTACAGACAGAAAATGTTGATGCTAGCCAAGATTGATTTATTTATAATTAATAAATAGTTTTCACCAATTTTTGTATTTATAATTATTTTAACCTTTCTCTTTCTATCTTATTATTACCTTAATGTTTTTATTTTATTAGTCAATAAAATAAAGTCGTAGGTCATATATTAGCAATTTTGTTATAAGCGTTATATTAAAAATACATTTCTATTATGATGAATAAAATAATAAAAGTTTTCGTTAAATTGATTAAAACAAAGTAACATTTAAAAAAATTTAAATATACAAAATTTTAGTGATCTGAGTTGCTGCTTATCGATATGTATTGATAACACGATTACCCTCTAATAATATATAGATTTCTTATGTTACAATGTCTCTAACTTACTTGCATTATGATTCGTTAAAAAATAGGAATATTTTGTGTGAAGTATGGTAACTATAGCTAGTGTAGAAATGTTATCACACATGACCAACTTCAAGAAAGTTTATTATTCGTATGGATTCTGGCATTACGATACTGTATTAAGAATTGAATAGTGTACATTCTCAAATAGAAGCAGTGAGTGTAAGTAACATCAAGCGATTATACAAATATGTGCTAATAATAATGTTTTGCTATTAATTAATGTAATTCATAATGAAATAAGAAGCTTGGCTTTGTTTATGCTTGTACTGACATGAGTTGCTAATCTTTTATTAAAACGCCAAGCACAAATCAATCTATCCGGATCACTTTATTTACACGATTGTCGGCACACTTTTTTCTTTCATTTTAATTCATCGCATCGTATTTTATCAAACCAGTTTTAATAGTCTTATTTTGATACTCTTTAAGTGTTTGTGTAATCACAGCGTCGCGTCTTACGGAAGTTGCATTTACATTCAATAACGTTTCAATTAATATAATCAGGAGTCCATTATTTATTGCAATATGTAAAAAATGCTTGGCATATTCGCGAATCCTTTGCGATATTTAATAAAAAAAAAATGATTATTTGTTTTAATTAATTCGATTTAGTTTGTCAATGATCGATCACGCGGTTACTTTTTATCAAGTAAATCACGCACATAATTAATTCCATGGGAGCGGAAATGTCTGCGTTAAGAAAAAAGTTCGTTTACGCATTTCTTATTGCTTTTACTTAATTACCGATATCCGATTATTATTATAATTAGTTAACATTCTTCTTACAATTTATTAATTGAATAAATTATAATAATTTTTTTATTTGAAAAATAGATAGTATTAAAAAACAGAAAAAGTATAAAATTTGCTTATTTTTCATTTATTTGTGTATAAATTTATTATTTTTATAGTATAAAATTAGGTATTGCTTAAATTTTGTTTTATGTGATTATATTTTTTATGATAAACATATATTATATATTATATATACTTTCTATGTATTACAATGTACATCTAATTCTTTTTACTTTATACTCTCCTAATATCTTAATTGTTTTATTAACTACTTATCTATTATTCCTCATTAAACATTTAAATTATATATAACATAATGTATATTAACATTTAATTATTTAAAATACTAAATAAATGAGAAAAACCACATATTAACAAATATGAAGATATTGTATTTTTTATTTTTTTCTTTGTATAATTTTCTATTTTATTATCTAATTTTTTACATATGTTGTTTTACTTGTTATTCCTTTAAATTATTAGGTAGGTTTATAATGGAAGGAGGTGGAGTACTTACAGCAGAACGCAGTCCAGCACGTGCAAATCTGCATGTGGCTTTCAGTGAAAAAGGAGAGGTAAAGGAGCGCAGGGAGAAATTTCTGACAGCCAAGTATGGATCTCATCAGATGTCCCTTATTCGTAAAAGACTTGCTGTGGAAATGTGGTTGTTTAATGAGCTAGAGAAATTATATGAATCAGTTGTAAGTCCAACATTATGTTTTATGAAATAATGATTATAGTTATTATAATTATTTTTCTACATCGTTAAAAGTAAATATAATTACTATTTACTGCTTAATTTATAGGATGAAAGTGGTAAAAATCCAGAAGTTGAAATTGATATAGATGAACTTCTTGACATGGATAGTGATGATCACAGACGAAGATTTTTGCAAGTATGTATATACATGTATATATTATAAATATTTGTTGTAAAAAATCATATAAATTGATTATTGTAATCTATTATTTTATTTTTTGTTGTAGGAATTACTAGTTGACACAAAGAAACCACCACATGATATAAATGTAAGTATAGTTATTGATCCTGCTTTAATAAACTTGCAATCACTTGTTACTAATGTTATAACAGTATTTCCTTTTCTAAAATTTAATACTTCGTGACTAATTTATTAATTCACAACATACTATTCAAAAATATTATTGCGTATTTTTAATAAATTAATTAACTTAATCATGGTGTATCCTCTATGGTTCTAAAAAAATAATTCCATTGATAAACCGGCATTTGTTACTAACGCAAGTTTATCTGTTTATTTATATGTTTCAGAAATTCATTAACGATTTACTTGAAAAAGCTAAAACACTTTGAAGAACTTTCGTGTTCTTCTTAACACTTATGTGTTTGCAAGGACTTTTTTGAAGCATTAACAAATTTGCTCAGATTTGGAACGAGTCAAAGACATATTCAAGCCTTAACGAGTTGCATACAACGCGACTCAAATGCCAATTTATCATTATACTTGGATCGAACTTAATGGGGAAAGAAAAAGAAAAGATAAAATCCATCAAATGACTCTGCACATTTTTATTCTAGCGTATATTATTTCATATTGAAATCGTAAGCATTAGTATCTGACTTATCTCAGTACAACGGCTAACTTTGTTAGTTATTTATGTGCGCATCGCATATCAAGTAATAAACCTCACAGTACACGGAACTGCCTTGCTGTACGATCCATCCAGTGTGATGTATAGTAGAAAACGTTTGTTCTTCTACACTCTAGTTTTGTATGCATTCTATACTCCATTGTTCGTAGTTAATATTTATGTTATTAAGGATGATTAACTAACTAAATACTTCCAAACACTGTAACTATACCAAATAATTTCTATGCATATCCTATGTTTATTGAGTTATCCCAACTGAAAATACAATTGGGTAAAAATGATTGATATTTTTTATGTTGTAGTGTAACGAATTAATAGAACTTCTTATTTATTTTAGAAAATATTTTAAGAAAGTAGATATGCAAAATTCCGCATCGAATGCTTGTACGAATTTGGAAAAAAAAAAAAAAAAAGAAACTTGTTTGATAATATAATAAAAGCGTGTATGTTTCAGATGATATTATCACTGACATAGTAGTAATTAAAACGTGGAAATGACACCTATTGTTGCTCCAGTACCGAATCAGTATTGAAAATTATGAAGCAGAAATTGACTCTGCCGTAAGTTCCATTTTGGTTTCTTTTTTTTGGATAAGAGTTACTTAAAATTGAATACTTTTAAAAAGTTCTTGTTACGTCATTAGCAAAAAAGCATTTAAAAAATGAAAAAAGAAAAAAAAAAGAAAAAGTGCAGAAAGTATAAACATTCCTAAATTTAGAAAAATATTGAACTCTTTAGATTCTAATGATGTACTGACGATTTTTTAATTACTTTGTTACTTATATAATCGTGTTGTTTATTTCAAGATTTTAAATTTATATTTATAAACATGTTATACTCGTTTAATTGATAGATTGATCATTTTTCATGGATTTTTAATAGATCAATTCGTGTGTTCGAAAAATGGAATAATGTACAAGTTCTCTGTTCCGACAACCTCGTTCGGATAAAGTAGACACAAAATGTATAATTATTTGTGTGAATGTATATGTAGTACAAATTAGCATTTGTGTTACAAAAATTGACCGTCGGAGCAGAGTGCAATTATAGGTGACATTTATACGGTTTACCAGTCATTTAACTTACGAGGTATCGTGTAAAATGTATCCATATTTATTGTAAAAGAGGAAGGAAATGAACTTAAGGCAATCTTCCGAAAACCCAAAGGATCTCTCGCACTGATGTATCTCGTATTATTACTTAAAACAAAAAAAAAAAAAGGAAAAAAAAGACTGCACAAATGGAATTTACCTTCCTCTTAAACACCATATAGATGCGTATAGAAATCACCATAAATGATAAACAGAATGATAAGATGGATATATTATCGAAGATCGAATATACAGTATCGGATCTTGAATGCAAAAACAAGCAGACAGTTTTATGTTTATGCTAAACAAAATGTAAAAAGCAATACTAATAATGTGATCACTTAACAATATATCTTCACATAAAAAGAAAAGGAAAAAAAAAAAAAAAAAGAACGAAGAAATTGCTATTCGAGACTTTGTAGCTACCTCGTATTGCAAAGAAAAGCGTACGACTTTTGTAGCGTTATAATCCCCAGCACCCAAAAAAAATTAAAAGAAAAAAAAAAAGAAAAAAAAACGTGGAAAATGAATAAAAATGATTTTATCCAAGCAAGGACTAGTGAATCGTGATTATTTTACGAGATATATTTGTACAGAGATTCACATGCCACTCGTTGTTCAGCAAAATGTGATCTTTGTAAACTTCGTCGCGGGCATAGAAAAATGTGTTCAGACTATCTTTTTACCCTACCATCCTTAAAACGAAAACTTCCATACAATTTAGGTGAATAATGTCGTCTAATGAAAAAAAGAAAAAAAATCTTGTCACCCAATTATGTATATGTAAAGCTTTATACGACAAAATATATGTGAATGTGTAATTAAGATTAGGGAAGTAAAATTATACAATAAACCTTGATCTCATAACAGTGCAATCATGACGTGTTTGTTCACTCTGTTTGAGAAAAGTCATATGATACACATTACCGATGACTTATGTTGAACGAATACGTCAGAATTTAATCAGAGTTTATTGTATTAGAAACGATACAATCAATTGGTGCACTTGTGATTTAGTATTGTACAACAGTATGCGACCTTCGATAGAATTATGTTCATCGAATCGACACGTAAAGAGGTAAAAGAAAAAAAAAAGATTATGAAGTTTTTAAATTTTATCGCCAAAGAAAATGTCATTGTATCATGGCTCTTTTGTTTTTTTTTATTCTGCATTATATGATACATAAAAAGATGATCAAATGCTTTGCATGTAATGCTCGTCGGTATGTGAAAAATGTTTCGTAACATATATTGTTCCGGCTTTATATCTCTAGAAAAAGAAAGGCGAAGGAATTTTTGTGTAATTGGAACGATACGATTTCAAGATTATTTTCTTGGCGAATCATTTGTAAGAAATACGAGAAATACTTAATGTTTGGTAAGAAGGAAAGGATAAAACATGAAAGGCGAAAGTGTAATTCATGAAATTACATTGGGGTTTCCCATCCTTGTGTGAATGCCTTGGAATGTCAATGTTGTAATACCGAATCAAATTAATCCATAATACTCTTAAGTAAGGGAAAAGCACTTTTACACTGACTAAAAATTGAAATTTCTGTATTCGTGATGCGATTCATATGGAAAAAAATGTAAAAGATGATAAAGAAATTTAGGGTTCGTGTTTCTTATGTTTTATATTGGCGATATTGCCGTTTTCACAAGGAAACAATATTTTGCATCAATATGTACTGATTATGTAAGAGATTGTATTTACTTGCACAAACAAAATAAGTATTGGATAACAGAAAAATTTATGACTCCCTTCTCTTCTTCTTACTCAATAATCTAATCATGCATATAGTATTAATAAATTAAAAATTTATTGTTCCATAATTATAAGTAAAATTTACACTACAAATTCATTGGTACTAAAAAAAAATCAATTATTTCGTCGTAAAGTACAAAAAAGTATTTAATTTTTATGATCATTAAAAATTCTATAATTATTACTAAAAAAGAAGTTAATTTTCAAATATAATAATTACATTATTGTAATGAAAATATCTTTCACCAACATGGGGTTGAGTTTAAAATGGTTTCAGCGAGTTATATCAAAGATTTATTCGTTATATTGTACAGAATTTCATCGCAGTTATAGTGCGCATAGCGGGTCGTAATACATATCCTCATAGAAAAGACTTCTGAAAAAATCAGCTTGAATAAAGATATACGAGATCGATATACGTTCATGTAAATAAATTTGCATCCATGAAATCATTCCGTTAGGGTTCCTATACATCTTTCTCCATCATTCTGAACATTCGTAAAAATATGCTGCCTGACCATAATGTTATAGAATAACACCGAGTCAAATATAAGACACGTTAATCGATCGGTTTCGCAATTGAAACAAGAAAAAGATTCGTATAAATACTTTACATAACGATGCTTTGAATTACCGTATTCCGGTTGTTATACTTATGAGTTCCTGATACCAAGTGCCTGCTCCAATTCCGCGCGTTTCTGTTGAACCTTCGTATAAAAATACCGACACACTGCTTCCTGTGCCCATGGTTGATAGTAGAATTCTGCCCTACGTTCTTCCTCCGGATTCCCAACCACGTCGATCATAGTTTTCAAATCTCTCGTTTGTGAAATAATCCATTTGTTGATAAATTGTTGAGGATCTTTGGCAAAACTCAAGAAAAATTCTCGGTTCGTTTTTAATTGGTTGATTGTCTCAACCGTTTCGTGAATTTTGTTATCAAGACTCTGGATTTCCTGTTGACTTGCAGTAGATAGCAGGAAATTATTCATCTGCGTTTTTAATGTATCGTCAACCTCTACATCTATGTCGTAACACGCAGTCTGCTTTGTTTCTGTCCCTAATTTAGAACATAATAAAAGGTGAAAACTTAAGGATATAGAATGCATTTATTAATTATTATTGACAAGTACCTTCAACACTAATAACGTGATTGATTACGATTGGGTCTGGGGGATGAAGTAATGGATTTAAACGTTGTGGTATTTCTGCGAATTTCATCCTTGAACAAGCAAATATTTGTTCGAGATATTTATCACAGTTTATGAATTCTCTTTCATGACTATCTTGAAGCTTGTGTGTTTTTATATACTGCCAAAGAGCGGAAATGATAACAGGTCTCGTTTGGGTATGTACACCTAAAAGTCGCGCTAATCTGGGATCTAGTTTAAACTGTAATTAAAAATGTCACTATGAAATTCTAGTTTAATTTACATTTATTTTATTTAATGTGAGAACCAGTATGTGAGAACCAGAAAAAGTCAAATTTGAATGGTAACAGTATTCTTATTTCATAAAATATTTTTGGAACCTTAGTTCAATCATTTTTAATTTAGTTTTGATTCAACCAAGTCATTTTTTAATGTACTCTAATTCCTTTTTAACTGATCACTTTTCAGAGCTTCTCCAACTAAATGTGATCAAAACTTAATTTAACTGATCTAATTGATCTAAGCAAAGCTATTTCAAGCCAATTAAAACATCTGATATGTGTGATATTGCAGGTTCTTGTATACCCTCATTAAATATCCATAAAAAATGAGAGACATTACTTGTAAGGGTTGGTAGTCAAGAAGCAAAAGAATAGTGCATCGAACATTTTTATCTCCAGGTCTCTTTACTTGGAAACCATCAGTTTCTTGGGTTGTCAATGTACGATGCCATTCAACCAAGTGGTTGTCGGGTCCATATAGATCTTTATCCAATTCTATAACTAGACTTTTAAAAAAGGAAGAAAATTTCCTTTTTACCTAAAAGTCATTGTAGTATAAATCAATATCTTCAAAAAGTTAATATCTGTAGTTTCTTTCTCTAAGTTGATCTTTACCTTATTGGGATCATTTTTAGTATCATCTAATAATCGTCCCTCTACTCTAAGTTCCCAAGATGCAACGGAACCTTCTTCACCTTCACCAGCTTCTTTTGCTGGATAAAATGTATTAGAAATAAATATCCTCAACTTCCTTTTCTGTTTCATTGGACGTTTTAATGCTTCTTGTATGTCAAGTCGTTTCCTCATTATAGTCGCGTCTAATTTTCTTTCAAACGCGAGTAAGTCCATATAAGCCTGAGATTCAGGTACTAAATCGCGCACTTTTTGTGGCAGGATTTTATCTGCCAGCTTTTTCTTCTTCTTGGATGTGGAATGTGAAAAATCACTGTTCCAAAAATACCTAAATGAGTTTGTGTAAAAATCATAGATTCAAAAATCAATAAACCAATTTTGAAGCTTATGAAATGCAGTGAAGTTCCTGGTGAATTTGGCGAATGGTCAGTTTTTCCTGTTTTCCTTTTTTTTTAACTTTGCTGCTTTTATGATACCAAATAAATTAAGAATCCAATAATTAAATAACCAAATTAATTGACGTATTGCTTTTTGAAATATGTAATTATAAATACTAAAAATTATTCTATTTCAATAAAAATGATTAGTTAATACATTCATTAATTATTTAATGTAATGAGTTAATGAATAAAGTAATACAAATGTAAATGCAAATTAAATAAAAACATGCAGTATTAAAGCACTTACGGTTTCTGTTGTGACATAGGAATACGTTGATCTGCAGTCCGTTTTCCAACTGGTGGAGTAGCCATAGGACCTTGACGCATATTTGAATAAGGTTGACTTGTCCTTATTATACTAGCTGGTCCAGGGCCTGCATTGGCCATTTGCGGAGGAGGAGTGAATCCAGACCTCTGTTGCATCTACACAAGAAATCATAAATTACATATTTTTTATTATTTTGCTCATTTTAATTGCTTTATTCATAGTATTACTTACAGGAAAATTTGGACCAGAATATTGTCTTAAATTGGGAGGCACAGATGATGCTGCATATCTTTGTGGTGGAGGGCCATTATTCCCTGTATTTGGTACAGGAAACCTTTGTGCCATGTTTCTTTGGTGATTATCCTACTGATTGAAATCGATAAACTTTTTATTTATAGAAATATTTTTGAATATTTTGCAGTTATGGAAGATTCTGAATTAATATATTCACGTTTTATTATACAACAAAATTACATGAATTATCAAAGTATACAATACTTTATTAAATAAGTTTATTTACATTTCATCATTGTACATAAAATCACTTATTTTTACACAAAAGTGAAAAGTGGTATTTTTGAAATAAATAATATAATTTTTCTGTCAAACTATTGCAAGAAAACAAAAACATAACCTTCAAAAGTGTACCTAATTACAACTTTACTTAGATCATAATGAATCATCCTATTTTATAAGTATCGTAACATCATTGATAAAATGGTAAAATTTATAAAATAATTGATTGAAATTTAAAAGAGACAAATATTAAAACACTGCGTTCGAACTTTCCTCGGATGTCCGTCAGAATCGAGTGCATTTTTCTATCACAACATAGTTCCATTTGGAACGTTTCAAACAGTTATGTATTATGATTCGATGTGAACTGAAGTATAGAAGAAAAACGAAGAAAGAAAGCTACAAATCCAACGGTTAATGAAAAAACAACCTACGCCTTCAAAGCTTCTATTCACTTTCTGCCAGGGCTAGTAAGCTCTCGAAAAGCGGCAGATTACGAGTGAATAATTTTTTTGTTTCATCGTTAAGATGGCGCTGTTATCGAATGCATTTTATAGGGACTCTTTTTTATGTTGACTGCACTGTGAAGCTCAATTTTAAATTACTAAAGCTCTATTAATGTGATAAATATTTTTATTGAATAATTCTGTAAAAAAAGATTCGATTTAATTCGCAAATAATTATTGATAAAGTGTTGTACAAGAATTAATTCAAAATGAAATTATTATGCTAATAGTATTTTTAAAAGCAATTTTTGGTGACTATTTGCTTCCTACACATTTTTATTAAAAAAACTTAAAAAATCGAATATAACATACCTTTTAATAAATCGAACAATGAAATAACACATATTATTATTGATAGATATTAAATGTTACTCTTTTCAGTCATTATTGGTTCTTTTCAATAAAATAGTATCAAGTATCTAAAAAACTAATTTGACAAATTTCTTATATGTAAATTCCTAGAATCTTTCAAATATATAATTACATCTTGAATTCCTTCTAACATTGAATGAATGATTAATAGACAGTAATAATAGAATACCTTGAATACCACCTGCGCACGCAGATTTTCATGAAAATAATAATTAATCATAAGATTCGTGGAGATTTAATTCTGGATAATTTTCTTTTAAAACGCGCTTAAATTCAGAGTAGATGTCGACTATTTTCAAGCTGCAAAGTGGTTGTTAGGGAGGCTAAAGGTTCTCGCTTCAATTACATTCGAAATAGTCGAAATTATTTGAATTCGACGAAAAGTTTGTATGCTGACAACGAAGAGGGGATATGGAAATACGCAGGATGCTGCGATTATATTTAAACCTGAGTCAGTAGCCAGCGATTTCACCAGTGAATTTTCCATATCACTGAAATAAGAATTGCGTGGATTGCGCAACTCTTCGTTATCGGGTCTCGATAACGTTGCTATGAAAAACAGCTTTGAAGGGTCTTCTTGTTCGGTCAACATCTAGTGATTTTTTATAATTCTCTTAGACAAATATTAATAATACTAACATACTTATTTGTACATATTTCAAAATAACTTCACTAATACTTTTAAAAGATACTTACACCGTAATGCATTTATGGTGTTTTAGATTTTATCAATCTCGTTATTTTGTGGTAAATAACGAAGTTTCTAAGTTTCCAGTTTACTTGTATTATTAAAAGAATCGTGTTCTTATTTTAATCAAGATGAAAATCGAAATTTTTACACGAGTGCGCCATCTTGACTACAATTTTTTAAACTGCCCACCTTTTGGCGGGTTTTTATCCTCAAACCGTTGGCTCTTCACATAAATTCAAAAAGTGGATCAACGTAATAATAACTCGACCCATATAGTAGCTATTTATTTCAAGAAAAAATCTGTGACACCTTACGTAATCGAATTTTTTTTTCTTTCTTTTCTTCTTAAATATCTCTAACGTAAAATGCAGCGAGGGTGATTCTTCTAAGTTACAATATGGCGGTCTTGTGAACGAAAGTTAAGGAATATAACACGAAACGAAGGAAGATTTTATTTTTCGTTAAAAATGTGGTGAATTTTCATTGTACTTAACAAAAACCTCGAAGTAGTTAATAGTATTTAATAGTGGGGTTACATGGGAGGTTATTTTCATTGGCTTTATATCGAAAGACATGGATGAAATAAAATTTAATTTTAATTTCAATTCTAAATTTAAATTATTTGTACCTTTCTTAGAAATGATCTCGGAATTTCACAAATATTCATATAATGTACAAAAGGAAACGGAAGTTTGGACCTAGATATCATAATCTATGTATATTTCGATACTATTTTTATTTATTTATTTACTACATCATGAAATACTTAGCTCTAACATAAGTAACTATTAGAAATATACAAAAGAAGTATGGCAACGAATAAGTAAGACGACGAAGAAAGACCAAGGAGAATTGTCTAGAATTAGTCAGCCTCCTAATCTATCACCACCCACGGGACGCTTATACCAAAAGGGACCGAAAAAATCACGAGAGGTAAGAGAAATATCGCACACTAAAACTACGAAATCTCAAGATTTTACCTGAACGATAATCTCGTAATCACAAAGGTAACATCTTTCACATAAAAGTACATAAAGTTACAGCTTACCCCATGTCTATCGGACTCAGCACCGCTTCTGGATCGTCTCTACCGTTTTTCCTCCATTTTACACCATGACGATCGCTTCCTGCAGCCACGATTATTCACGTTAGACTTTTCAGTAATTAAATCCAGGTATGCGACCGCATGATTTTTCATATCCTGTCCATTGCACGTGGAATGATTCCTGTGTCTATCGTGGAGGCGCAGCTTGGCAGCCGCGATTTTGGAAATCCTACGTGTTGCTCCCTGTCCAAATGAATAAGCTGCTAATATTAGATCGTCGAAAAGCGTGGAAAGCACGCCTTCACACAATCACAGATACACACAGACACGTGTGTGGCGTCGTCTTTTTTGAAACACACGCCGGCTCCACCCGTGTTGGACAGCTTCCTTTGGAGCGTGGGCCGTATTCCCGCCATCTTTGTGGAGTATAAGAGGGACCAGCCCTCGGACTAAGCACGTCAGTTCTCTTCAGCAAACACTGCAAGGTACAAGGATGGCACTCGAACGTCAAGTGCGCGCCAAGGTATGAGCACGAGGATCTCTGTGTATCGAGCTGTATCGTGAAGGATTTGGATCATTCGTAGTCGAGTGCGAGATCGTTGGAACTTCATTTTGTTTAGAAGCCTTTCGGTAACCTGTTGTGATTTATTGTGATCTTTATTACCGGTTTTGGTGACGATTGGGTCCGGGTTGAAGATATTTTTTAATCGGAGCTTCCGCGGTTGGGAATGCTGAAATCTCAAATTTTTGGATTCGCGGAGTGATTTTCGAAAAATTCTTTTTCCAAGTTTTGTAAGAATATTGCGTGGATGTTTCGGTGGTGAGTTAAACGAGTTCTTCAGGAGAGGTACTTGCGATATAAAAAGGAAATCGTCGTTAAAGACGTGGTTGACGTTAATGCAAGTTAATGCAAATTTTAATGCAAGTAGGTTGAAGATGGTTTCCAAATTAGCAGAAATGTTTATAACTTTCTCATGCTCATGGATTTAAAGACAAATTTTTCAAACATTACGAATCGGAAAGAATTTAAGTCGCGATTAAAACGAAACGTTTAGGGTGAAACTGTAATTGTTTTCCAACGATCTCGAGTTGTTAGCGTCCTTCATGACAGAATGCTGTAAAAATTGTGATTTCATAAATACTTTCGTTCCAGATCGCTGCAAAGCGTAACCCAGAACAGGAAAAGGAAGCCCAAGAATGGATAGAGTCTATTTTGGGTAAGAAGTTCCCACCTGGTGAGACCTTTGAAGATGTCCTCAAGGATGGACAAGTGCTGTGCGCGCTGATGAACAAGATCTCCCCTGGATCCGTTCCCAAGATCAACTCCAGTGGTGGTCAGTTCAAGATGATGGAGAACATCAACATGTAAGACAGTATTCTCTATCCATTAAGTATACACTCGTTGAAAGTGATTCTTAAATCACATCATCTTGGACAGGTTCCAGAAGGCTTTGAAGGATTACGGTGTAGATGACGTTGATGTGTTCCAAACAGTCGATTTGTGGGAGAAGAAAGACATTGCACAGGTGGTGGTGACTCTCTTTGCTCTTGGTCGTACGGTAAGTTTAATTAAAACCGAAGGTTAGTTAATAGATACCTAATTTAATTTAAACTACATCTAAAAATACAATTAGAGATAATTTCAAATTTAAATTCATTCCTAAATTCTCATACTTCCAAATTTAAACTGTCGTGGGTTAGCTTTTACATTATTTCTATGTACATATATATATTTCCAAGTTTTGATTGCTAGTATAGTCGCCTTAGTTGTACTTTCTTCGACTTTCCATAGACGTACAAGCACCCAGAGTGGAAGGGACCCTACCTAGGACCCAAGCCGGCTGAAGAATGCAAACGTGAGTTCACTGAAGAACAATTGCGTGCTGGAGAGTCTGTGATCGGTCTCCAGGCTGGATCCAACAAGGGTGCCACCCAATCAGGCCAGAGCATTGGTGCTACTCGCAAGATTCTTCTAGGAAAGTGAACCCGCCCAATCAACTCTTTTAGACCCGAGAAAATTTGTATTTTGTATGTACGTGTATATATATTATGTATTTATTTTGTATTTTGTAATTAAATAATATATATAATATATATATTTATTATTTAATAACGATCTGGTTGAATCAACGCCGCCCTTGCCCCCTTAGACCGTCGAGTTCAGAGTGATTTGCATATACTCTAAATTTTTCAAGATCCCTAGAATCCTTTAGGATTAGTAATGACATACGTCGCAAGATGGCAGGCGTATTGGCTGGATAGCAACAATGTTTTACAATTCTTGGCAGTGTTTAATAGAAACATCAACGTTTAGATTTTTGTCTTTTTGATCTTTAAATACAGTCTCTCCATATTTCTCGATATATATTGGATAATTTATATCGGGTGTTTTCGACGTTACAGCAGGGACCTCGTTTCTGAGGATTTTCAGGTTAGGTCCTCGTTGTCGCAGAATCGGAAGAACGCGTGTAAATTTTGAAAAATGTCGCGTTGGAAGGAAAAAGAAAATAATAGAGAGAAGAAGAGAGGAGAAAAATGTCGAAAGAATAGAAACAACATAATTTTGGCAAATTGCGTGGCGACGTTCATAGAGCGTATAATTAGAATGCGGGAAATAAAAATATACTACTGTTCGAAGGTTACGATGGTTTACAGAAAGTCTAGACTCATGTTTCTAGAGAAAATCAAACAAACGAAATTGCATGTTATTAAAATTCTCGTAGAATGACTTTGTAAGAGCCCGTTAATGAACGAGGACAGGGAAATTTATTAAAAGCGTCGTATTACTTTGTTGGAATGTACACAGTTGTTGAATTTGTAATAAATTTCTGTGAAATGCTAATCCTCTTTGGTGCCATTGAAAATTTGGCCGTCGTGTATACATGACATCGATCATGAAAATGAACGCTTTATATCGTTTAATTGATCCACTGTTCGGTTTACTACAGTTGTTAGTTTATTATTTTTATTTAAATTGACATTAAAATTTTGTACAAAACCTTTAATCCTACTCATGCTATTATGTGTAAAAAAATACAGGGGTTGAAATGTACAATAAAAATTACACACAGTTATTAGAAATTTGAAAATTTGATCGAAAAAATTAGAATTAATAGAATCATCACTTTATCGACAAAGTTAGTCAACAAACTTTTACAAATTTATTTAAAAATATCGAAGATAATAGGAAAGCAACAGACTTTTAAGAATTGCATCGAAAAATAATTTTTAGCAATTTTATAACTTGTAACACAAGATGAGATACGAATCCTTTGATTTGATTATTATATTGCGAAGGACAAGAATTAGGGAACCAAAAAAATTTATGATAGGGAATAAAATAGCGAATATTAAAAATTTCAGATATATGCATGAAAGTTGGAAATTTGGAGAATTTTGGAATACAAAATTTCGCACAGAGGAATTTTGATTCAAAATTAAATTTTCACACAGAAAAATTTTGATGTGAAATTACAATTTTTCATAGAAGAATTCTGATCTGAAATTAGAAATTCGTACGAAGGAATTCAGATTCGAAGCTTGAAACTTGGGAAACTGTTTAATATTTTAAGATGACAGAATTTTTAATTTAATATCTACAACGATGTTTATTGAAATAAACACTTGATAATAATAAACATTCGGGTAAATTATTTCAAACGCGTTGTGAAACATTTGGGGGATTAACCGGATGGAGAAAAGTGCTTGTCTGACGACAAATAACAGGTGGAAGTAAATTGAATTGCAACGAGACGTGTTGGCTTCCGACTTCGAAGCAGCACGAAAATAGTGATATTGTAATTAGCATTGTGTATCGTCGTTGTACACACATCTGCCGCGAGATTCGAGAGCTTGGCACGGCCTTCGTCGTAACAGGTCGGTCTAAATTTATTTTCGTTCCTTCCAGATGCGCGGATCCACGGTGTATAATTTTGGAAAACGATGGAGAAACGTATTCCATCATCGTCGGTAATATCCTTTGACGATCGGCCATCTTGAATCCAGTGAATACTCAAACGACCCGATCGCGAATAATTACACGCTTTATATATGAAATAAGGACTCGATATTGGACGAGATTCTCAGTCGTTTCTCCTCGAAATGAAAATGGTGGGTGTACTAGTGTTATTTACAGAATGAAAAATTATTGTTTACTGCCAACTATAAAATTTGCACAGAAGAAGTATTCGTGAATCCGTCGTATAACTCGTTTCTGAGGCGATGTCGCGATGACTCAAGGAAACAATTCTGTGTCTCATATCGAAGGATCTTTTGGACGAGAATTTAATTGATTTCGAGCATAGTTTGACACTAGAAATACAGTACTATACCGCGTATTTGAATACGATATTCACAGGTGATAATAATTACGCCCTGATCCGAATAAAAATTAAGATTAAATTAAGAACTTTGCCAAAGGGAGTCGCATATTTTAAGTAACTGTAAAAATAAGAAGTCTGAATCGAGTCGTTTTGATCACTTATGGTTATTACTGATCATAATTGTACATAGGTCAACTGAATATAGGATATACTGATCGTAGGTTTAGTGGTGAGTTAAAATCCGAAGCCTGGGAATTGGAAAAATATTTAAGACAAAGAATCCTTTATTATCCTTATCGTTAATTTATAGAGAACGGAAATGTTGGATAGTATTTAAAATTAAAAATGGGGAATTTGGAATTGCGTTTGGGGGTAGTGATCGAAGTTCAAGGAGAATATAATGATTAATTCTGAGTTTAATATTAGATTGATTGGGGGATAGTGGTCGTTGGATTGGAGTTGGAATTTTGGAGGCAGGAAAATGTAATATTTTGTTAAAGCATGCAGACAAATTGACGTGGATAGGTATAATAAATTTGTGGATAAAGATAGGAATGGTTTCGGGGTAACGTGGTGATATACGATATACAATGGGATGTATTTTTAACAAAGATTTTCAAAGGACATTTATTTACTTTACTGGATGCTAAGATCTTAATTACAAAATTATATTTAAAAAAGTTAAGAGAATGTAAGAAGTTTCTAGAAAGAAAAGCCGCGTTTTATTTAAATATTTGTTTTCTTTGTCTATAAAATTGTATTTATTACTATTACTATTATTATCACTATTATTATATACAAGAAATATCTTGCTACAAGTAAACAATTGCATTGTTGGTGTTGTACCACCACATCAAAATTAAATTGTTTATTGGTTTAAAATTGTCACAAAATATTTAAAAACTCTTTAATTTGTTATAGATTAATCTTTGCGTATTAAAAATTAATTTTACGTAAATTTTTTTCATAAAATATAAAAAGAAGGATAAAAAATATATTGCAAACAATAATTGGTGTAATTGATATAACTTTATTTAAATTATATAATTATATAATT